CCGCCTCCGTCACTGCGCCCACCTCGGTGCTTGAGGTGGCTCACAACTTGGCGGCCATCGGGGGATGCAACCGGGTGGTGGTGTTGGAGGCGGGGCGGGCGGTGGAGGAGGGGTCGCCGGGGGAGCTGGCGGGGCGGGAAGGAGGCCGATTCCGGGCGCTCTGCACAGCGGCGGCGGCGGCGACAGTGACAGAGACAGCAGTAGACCCGGCGCCGGCGGTGGTGGGGGTAGCCGTACCCGCCGGCTATGGGGAAGGAATGAGGGCGGAGGAGCAGAGGGCCCACAAATGATGATGGAGGCCATGTCGTACCTCCCGCCTGTACGGCTATTCTGATATGTTGGGCTCCTGACGGCGGGCTTCGAGTTTTAGGTTGGTCGCTTGTGGCTGTAGGGGGCGGACCCTGGACGAACACATCTTGTAATTAACGACGAAGATGTCTGTCTGTCTGTCGGATGCGTTCGTACCGTGGGCGTGCAACGGCAACGCTATCTGGAAGGACACCCCGATGATGAGCTGTGTGCGTTATGCCGTACATGGTCGCGGGGGGAGGAGGTTGTCACGTGTGGCCCCGTACCAAGGTCAAACGTACGGCCGTACGACACCCTCGGGGCCGCATAGGAAGGGGATGGGGAATATACTTGCGGGGTACCGAACGCTGCGGAGTTGCTAACTACGTGCTACTGCGACTGCTGCTTCTGTCTGCTACTGCTGCTGTCTAGCGGTCGTAACGCCACTCTTGATGCGGATGGATCTCTCGAGGCCAGTCTAAGACGATTTCGGACCCGCGGGGAAAAGGAAAGATGGTCACGCGTGTTTTTTTTCACGTGGCTGTGGCCAACAACAGCTTACAGCTTTTATACAGCAGAGTTCGGCAGACTCTACTGCTGTGCCACTGCTGCAGCAAAGCAAGTTGGCACCCCTTGACGTCACGCGACACGGTTTCAAGACAACATATCATGTCGGTATATATGAAATTTAATGAGCTTCAGCGGCACTGTGCAAATCTCTGACGACACAAATACATACACATACATACATACACGCACACGCACATCGCATCTCACTCCAGATTCGTACCGGCTGTACAGCAATGCCCCATTCGGCTGACACGCTGCCGCACGCAGTACGGGGTGGAGGTAAGTGGAAGGCCAAATGTTTTTCTAGGTTGTCGGTCGACCGACTTAGGGAATGCGCAAACAGTCGAGGCCCCGCCCCCCCCCACACAGTGGGGTCCGTCCCTTGGTGTCCAACGTCTCCGCGGCGCTGACAGCTCCCGCCCGCCGACGGGTGAAGGAAGGGACACAAGAAAAGAGAGAGGACTTCGGAGCGCACTTGTTTGGCGCCGCTCTCCTGCACCGAGGGAGCCCGCGCGAGCACAAACGGAACGCCCTGGAGCGATCACCTGTCCAGCAATCCAATCTTCCCACCCCCCACCCCCATCCGCCCGCATCCCCCCTTCTCCCCCTTCCTCCCTGTTCCCCTCCTCCTTGCGCTTGGGCCGCTTCCCGCCAGATGCACATACCGACATGCGGGCCGCCTGGATTCCACGTGATAAACTCAAATCCAGGATCCAAAATGTCGAGTAAATCGATCCATGCGATGGATCAATCCGTTTTTCCGTACATGCCATTAAGTGCACCCCGCGACAGGGAGGAGTTCTACCTGCCAAGAAGACACGAGGTAAGGGGATGCGGTCGGCGGCCCCCTACTAGTCTTCACGGACTGTACGGGAGGTAGAATGGAAAGGTGATGTACGCTCATTACGTGCCTTTGAACAGCGCCAAACAAGCAGCGGAAAAAGCTAAAAGGAAGTAACTGCTTGTGGACTCAGCAGCGCACCGCCCGGAGGGGGTACACAAAGGCCAAAGCCACAGCTGAGCCTCACAGAGCCCAAGCACAGGGGCCCGAGGCAGCTGCGGGCAAAGTGGAAATCAACGCAATGCGCAGAGCAGAATCCCCTCCCTGGGGTGGGTGACCATGGCAAACGGACAGAGAGGGGGGGAGAGAGAGAGAGAGAAAGCGGGGCTACACACACAGCTACACAACAATGCAAACAGAAATCATATGCATAACTGGGAAGCGCAAGCGCGAGCAAAGAAAGCGCATATCCGGTCAACTACGCAGCCCACTATAAAGTATGTATGCTGCGGCCGAGAAAGCTCCGGAAAGGAGCGCCGTACAGTTAATTCGGGTGTCATAAAAGTAAAATAAAGTCAGCACCAGCCGTGTCGTGTCGTGTCGTGTGTTGTCCGGCGCTCTTTCCGACCATAACCTTTGCCCACAAACACCACATGGGAGAGCTCCCCAGCAGTTATAGTAATAGTAGTACCCACCATCGCCATCATCACCGCCGTGGCTGAAGCTGTGCGAATTAGGGCCTACGGGACCAGGCCACCACACCGCACCAATTATTATAATCGCAAAACCAAAACCAAATTTGCGAATGGAGGACACGAAAACGGATGACGCATCAGCGGATATGCGCCAACCGGCCACACTGGAGCTCCTCCGGAGTTCAAATCCAAAGCATCATTTTCGCCACCACGAGGCCGGCTATGCGCCTCAGAAGGTGCACCTGCAGGTGCTGGTCCCGTACAGCCAGGCTGCCAAACCCCCCGCCATCATCCGGTATCGTTATCATCATGACTTGCAGTAGTAGTAGCAGCAGCAGTAGCAGCAGTAGTAGTAATAGTAGTAGCAGTAGCAGCAGCAGCGCCACCAAAAGCCCATCAGGATATAGCTCCACAAGCAAAGCGCAAAAACCGCCACATCAGACTCCCTGGCCGCTACCTTTGTCGGTCAGCATGTCGTACCATCTCCCGACCCCCAAGCGAGACATACATACACATATACACACCCCTAAACACGCGACACAAAACACAGCACACGCGCGATGTGTGCCAATGACGTATCTGTGTATTCATATAACCCCAAATCTTTTGAGTTCTCTTTCGCTCTCCTCTCGTGGTTTCCTCCAACCACCACCCCGAGCCACACAATCTCGCACGGTCGTTGCCATATTATATATGTCAGACAAACCGGAGAAGGGAGAAGAGCGCTTGACGGAGCAGAACGGCCAAAAGTGGCCCATGGGTCACTCCTGTCATCTCCGTAAACCTCACTCACCTGCCAGCACAGCACAACGACCCCCTTTAGTTCAGTTCTCTCGCGTTATAGCTCCCAAAGGCCCCCCCCGGACCCTAAACCCTAAAGCAGTAATTATATACGCGGACACGCGGTCACCATCATCATCATCATCATCATCATCATCATCATCATCATCATCATCGCCAACACCGCCCCCGGGCGGCGCCACCCTACCTAGAGGAGCCCCTCAGGTCCACTGCATTTCCGCTGCAAGCCCTCCCCCCTCCATCGCGCAGTCACGCACCGAAGTGCCGCGGCCACCCGCCCGCTAGTTCCTGTTCGCCGTACAGGGGAGTATTATATCACACGCTGCTTTGCTTGCTTGCGCGCTACGTATAAAACAGACAGACAGACAGACAGACTCCCCCCGATCCGTCCACTCTTACCGTGCAACTGGGTCCTACTCTCCCACTATTTTACCATCCCCTCCCCAACTCCGCGATTATTTTTTCTTTAGTTCTACCAAGAGAGCAAGAGAGTATAATGCGTCGAGGTGAGTGAGGAGACAGAAGCAAATGCAATGTCCAAACCCAAAACGAAATCCAAACAGGAGGTATGTCGGCCTAAACGGTAATTGTGCGGCGCGAGCCGCGGAGTATTTGCGGATACGCGTTTGGCGGATGCCCTCGCGGGCGGGAGAGGCGGCGGATGCGCGGCGTGTGCAGCAGCACTGAATCCCCAACCCGCAGGCCTTTCCCCCCCCACACACACACCGTCCAGCACCCCACCCCCCGCGATTTTCCTCTCACTTCGCCTCCTGGAAGCCAGGCCCCTGCTCCGTAGGGCGCACTTATCATCGTCGGTTTCCGCCCGAGCACCAATTTCTATCCAGGAAACGCAAATCGGTATCTATCAGTCATATCCTCCAACTACCCGACGAAACCAAACCGAAATCATAACCGTAAAAACGAATCTCCACGTCTCCTTGTTGTGTTGTTGTGACCGGGAAACGTCCAGGGGAGGCGAAGACCTGTTGGCGTTCCAACCAAACGCATTAAACCCGGGAGATGGAGGGTGGGTGGCGGTCTGGCCTCCCGCCTGGCAAGAAAGGCTTTCCATGAGTATGTACGGCATCCAGGTGTAAATCGAGATTGTGTCGTACAGGATTGGCGGAACTGAGGAAGGGGGAGCGCTCCAAGGGTAGGCATGTTTCAGCACATAGGCTCATAGATGCCCATGATATTCTTTCTCCTCTTGTGCTGAATATAAATGTTATGTATATTCTTTTCGCAGTGAAGGCCTCTCTCCCACTCTCCTCTCCCAATCTGTCACATATGCCATGACCAAAAAATGGTCCTCCTCCCGGCCGCGATATAGACGAAGAGACATTTCCGCCTCTGCAGACACCCACATCCTTTCATATGCCGTACGCACGACGATATGCCGTACGTACTGCCACATCATCATTATCTGTGCCGTCCTGCCAAGATGTACCGACCTGCAATTAGCGTGGCATCATCACCATCATTCGGTTTTTTTCCTTTCCCCAAATCCATATACTCCTCCTCCTCCTCTTCCTCCTCCTCCTCCCGTTGCCGGTGTACAGCGCTCGGCAACCAGCACACGTACCACCACTGCCTGCAGCCCAATCTTTCAACCAGCGCAGCAGCTAAAAGCCCTCTCCTCGCCATCCACTTGAACCTCTCGGCGCCAATCCAGCAGAAACCCATGTGGCTAATTAAAATAATGATGAGGCCTTCTAGGCCGGCACAGGTCGCCTGTTCGATCCGGAACGACTCCTACAGGGCAAATTTCACTTCCACATAATGCCCGGAGCTGGCGGAAAACCCTAGACCCGCAGATTTGGGATGTGCTTCCCTGCCTCTGAACAAAGCACAAACACACAAAACCCAAGTCCCATAACGTCGTTCTCACGGCCTTGAGAGCCCGGCGCCCAATCTGTGTCTGCATGGCGATACTCTTAACACCCCTTCATCCCCCCAGCGGGGGGGGTTGATATCTCCACACAATCCCTCGGAAAGCAGTAGCAGCAGCAGTAGCAGCGGCAGTCGCAATAGCAACTGCAGTAGCAATATCATTAGCGTAATCCATCACCATCGCCATCACCATCACCATCACCAGCAGTCAGTACGACAAACCAAACCAGCACGCAAGGTGACGAGATGCCGTCACACCCGAGCTCGCTCGTACATTCCTCTCTCCACCTGCTCCCAGTCATCTTCATATCCCCTCGTGGCCGCAGCACTGGCGGCGCCGCCCCCGCCGGGTTCATCGCCTCGTTGGCGGCGGCCGTACCCCACAACGGCACGGCTACGCGGCCCGCCTCCAGCAAGCTGTGCGGCGTAGTACGCGGCGGCGCGCGGATCCTCAGAGGGCGGTCCGCCGCCGCCACCGCCGCCGCCGCCAGCCGCATGATGCGATCTGTTACCTGGCGGCTGCGGCGGCAGCGGGGGCCCCGCGTCGGCGCGCGACTGCATGCGCTGCCATGCTTGCTGCCGTAGTACTGCATGCGCCGACGGCGGCAGCCGCGCTACTGCCTCCGCCAGCTCCCCCCTGAGAGCCAGGCCCTCGCCGCCGTACCCGTTTCCGTACACGTCGTTATCTTCGGACAGAATCGCCATCTCCCTGGCGTCACCGCCACGAGCAGGCAGCTGCGACCGGTGTACGATCCGTACTAGCGGCAGCGCCGCCCCCGTCATTGCGCTGCGGCCAAGGTGCATACCCCCGCCGCCGCCGCCACTCGCCGCCGCCGGCGGCCCCGCAGCGTACATCTCCGCAAGCCTCAAAGCATCAAGTGCACCGCCGCCGCCGCTGTCGTGCAGGCCGTACAGATCATCGTCCAAGTCCCGTACTCCTCCCCCCAGGTAGACGCCATGCGCGACGTCGCTTGTACGGGGCCTCTTGCCGCCAACACGGCGGCCGACGCGCTCGTCCAGTGCGACGGCGGCGGCAGCGGCGGCGGGGTGCTGTTCCATGACGTCGTACCTCGTTGCGGGGCCTCGACGGCCGCCGCCGGCGGACTCCAAGTTAGAGCCAGACGAACGAAGTAACGACTGCTGTCGTTCCTGCTGCTGCTGTATAGCCTCCAGGCGCCGGCGTACCCGTTCCAACCGTCGCAGCTTGTCGTACAACTCGGCTTGCTCCAACTGAATACTGAGCAGCAGCGCCGGCGCACCCACCGACATTAGGTGCGCCTGGAGCTGCTCGTCCTCGGCATCCATTTCCTCCTCGCCGTACTCGCCGCCGTACTGCCCGGGGTCACCGTCGCCAGCCCAGGTGTCACCGGTGCCATCATGTTCGCTAACCCTTCCGTACAACGCGTGCATCAAATGCGGCGGGAGGTCACGGGCGGCACCCCTGGCGGCGGCGGCGGGTGGGTAACCCCCCGGCGGCGGCGGCGGCAGATGTTGCAAAACGCCGTCTAAGCTGACGGAGGCCGGGCCGCCGCCTCCGCCTCCGCCATGCAGCCTCGAGGCGCTATGCCTGCCGATCGCGTTAGCTCCGAAACCCGGGTCGTCTGGTGCAGCCCGGGCCCCCGGGCCGCCACCACATTGCCATGCGGGCAGGTTGTACCCGCCGTACTCCTCCTCGCCATCATCCACCTCGTCGCCGTACCCACTGGTACGCGCGTATCCGGGCTCCCCGGAGGTCCCGACGTGATTCACAAACTCGGGGACATCCTCCGAAACCGGATTCCCAGCAATCGCCCGTCGCCGCGCCGCTGCCGCGGCGGACGGGCCACCCAAGGACAATTGCTGGTGCTGCGGTGGCGGCTGCGGTGCCGCCGCTGCCGCCTCAGCCCTGGCGGCGGCGGCGGCAACCATAGCCGCCGCGACGTCCTTGGCACATTGCGGGGGCCCCGCGCTTCGTGATGGCGGCGGCGCGCGACCCAACGGTCCGTCAACCGGCGTGCCGCCGCCGCGCATTGCCGTACGAAGCTGCTGGAAATTCCCCCCTCCACCGCCACTACCTCCGCCGCCTCCGCCAGGTGCACCGTCTGCTTCCGTCGCCCCAGCCCTGACCGGCACCTCGCCGTCACCCTCACCCTCGATCTCAAACTTTCCTAGGGCCTCCCCCCCGCCGCCGCCGCCGCCGCCGCTCGGATACTGTGACTGCGGACCCCGCTGCCGACCCGGCGGCTGCGGCGGCGGCTGCAGCGCCGGCGGAGGTGGCTGCCGCCGCTGCATCAACCGCTGTGCAGAACTCGTGTCCGCGGCGGCGCCGCCGCCGTTACGGAGGCCCTTCGGTGCCGCCGTACTGCCGTTCGCGACCTGCATGCTCAGAGAGATGAGCGCTGCCGTACCCTCCGCCTCATCCTCGCTAGGGGCACCAGCCGCCGCCGCCGCAGATTGCGGCAGCTCCGGCGTCACCGCGCCGCCACCGCCTGCGGCTCCGCCATTCTCCAGCTTCACGACACCGGGGATCGATCCCGGGTCCGCCACCTCACCGTACTGATGCCGCGCCGCCGCTATCTCCTGGAGCTGTAGCAATTGCTGCTGCTGCTGCAGATGTTGCTGCTGTTGAAGGAGGTGTACGGCGGCGCCATGTGACCGCTGCGCTGCTGCTCCTGCGCCGCCTCCGCCACAGGACGACGAGCAGACCTCACCCGACCCGGCCCGGTACTTGATGGGCGCCGCCACCTCTACCTCGCCTCCGCCACCGCCGCTAGCCTCGCCTCCGCCGTCGTTCGAGACGCCTCCGCCACCGCCGGGTTGCTTGCGAGGGCGGTAGCGCCGCGCGGGTCCCTTGGTAACTGGCATGCCGTGGCGCTCCAGCCACTCGCCCAGCGGCTCCAAATCAGGCAACACGCGGATGGACCGGTACCACTTGGCCATGTTACTGCCGCCGATCTACGTCAATACACGTCATATCGCACGCGGGGGGGGGGGGGGAGGGAGGGAAAGGCGAACCACGAACAAGTGAAGCTGCTGCCAGGGAAAGAGTGTACCCTAAAGAGTAGAACTGACTGCGGGGGGGAGGACTTCGTAAGCGAGGGGGCGGAAGGGAAGTGAACTGATACACAAGAACACTCAAACTGCAAAAGTAAAACAAAAAGGAGTGAAGCAAAACAGCCAGCAGTCAATTGCGGTCCGCCGCGTTGGGTTGTAGCACGTCTGTCTGTCTGTCTGTCTGTGGCGAGGTGGGGGGCTGGGGGGTTGGGGGGTTTCGGGGCTCGGAGCGGCATTAACAGCTTTGGTCACACGTGGAGTCCGGTCACGACGTGGACCGAGAACGCGACCATGCATGAGTACCCACCGCGCAATCAGTCTTCAGTCGTACAAAACACACACGTACAAAAGAATCGGCACACCCCGAGAACTCGTTCCCGCATATTGCCACTCCCCTTACCACTCCCCGCACCAACCACCACAACCCAGATCAGATTTCCTGCACCTGAGCACCCCCGATCAACCCCAGCTACCCCCAGTTACGTTAAGATATTCACAACTTACTTTTTCGAAATGGCTCCTACTTATGAGTTGTCCGTGGTAGCGAATGCAGTCCATGCGACTCATGTAAAGCGCCGGCTCAAAGACACCGCATGCAGGGCCCCGAACGTAGCTGCCGTTGCCGTACCGCAAATCCTCCTCAGACGCGCGGCCGCTGCCTACGCGCACTGCCACCGTCACCTCCACTGGCGGCGGCAGCTCCGACGGCATCGCTGCGCCGCCGCCCAGCGCGCCGGCGCCGTCCTGGCCGTCGTCGATATCAAGGCCGCCGACGTCAGGAGCCTCAGCCGTGGGGGTACACCGACGGGCCGCTACCGCCGCGGCCCGTGCGCCGCGCCCGCCGCCGCCAGCGGCGGCCCCGGCCTTAGCAGCGCCGCTGCCGCTGCCGTTGCCGCTGCCGTGCAGGTTGAGGCCTTGGTGCTGTTGCTGTTGGGCGCTGCTGGCACCGGAGAGGACCGCAGCGGCGGCAGCGGCGGCTGCGGCAGCCCGCGACGGCCCATCAGAGTGTCCCCCTTGGGGACCTTCTCCACCTTGACGACCGCCGCCGTCACCACCGCCGCCGCCACCACCGCCGCCGCCGTCGTCAGGAGACAGCTCGTCACCTAGCAGGTCTGAGGTGGCAGAAAGCTTGCCTTGCTTGCGGCGTGGCCATCGACCCTGCCCTGTTGCAAAATCGCCCCCATCACCATCAACGCAGTCTGCTGCTGCTGCCGCTGCTAGTGCCGCCGCCGCTGCGGCGGCGGCGGTCCCCATACTGCTGGATCTCCGGACGTGCATCGGCCCGTCGTGCACACCGCCGGCACCACCTCCCGCCGCGGCGCCTTGCTGCTCGCCCAGCAGGTCATATGGCGCGGTTGCGGGGAGTTGCCCGCCAGGAGATGAGTTGTAGCTTCCGCCACGCCCAATTCGCGGCCTGGCGGCAGGTGCAGCGCCGGACTGGAGCTGGGAGCCAGTTGCAGTTGCGGCGCCTGCAGCCGCGCCGTTGCCGCCGCCACCGCCATCATCACTGCCAGCATCTCTTGCATCACCTGTCACACAGCCCATGTCCTGTGAGGCCGCCAGCATTTGTAGCTGCTGCAACGCGGCTTCCACAATGCCGTGGTGAGAAGTCGCAAAGGCGCCGTTGGCAGTTGCCGCGGCGGCGGCAGCGCGCTTGGCGTTCCGCTGCAGCTCTTCTCCTCTTAGCATTAGGTTGTTATGCTGCTGCTGCTGCTGCTTGCTTTCTCCTGCCGACAGCATACCGCTTCCGTATCTGTGAACTTGGGCTTGGGCGACTGTATGAGAGGTTTCAGCGTGTGGTGGTGATGGATCCAGATCGCAACCTGGTGGAGCCGCATTCGGCCGTGGCGCCGCGGTAGCTACGACACCAGCATGGGTGAGACCAAGGCTAGTGTTGGAAAGCGAATGCGGGGTTCCTATGCAACCCCCGCAGCTGTCGCTGCTGCCACTCTCGGCGCTAAGGCCCGCAGCAGCGGCAGCGAGGTCCTTGAGGCTTGGCTGCGTCCTCGCCTTGGGGTTGCAGTGAGGGGAGCCTGACGGCTCAGGTGCGCCTACGATTGCACGGGGCATGCAACGACGGTCCAGCTTGACTGACACGCAAAAGCCTCAATTCCAAAGCGTGATAGCGGCTCGTGCGGCCTGCACAGTTTTTGAAGGGACAAGCGGAGAATTTATGTCCGCGGCACCCTTCAAGTTATGACCGCAATCGGTTGCTCAAGGCAGCAAAGACGTTATGCGTGAAATATCGCGTATAGATTCAGCCAAGCTACTTCCTCGCCGGGTGCCTGCAGACTTTCATTTCCGTGGCTCAGCAAACTAGAGTCACCGAGCAATGCCCCCCAGCTGAGAGAAGGTTCAACGCACATCCGTATATTAGAAATAGAAGATCCTCCATTTAATTTACGAAGAATAAAATCAGCTGGCGCACGGATGAAGCCCGCCTTGCGGCCCTCGCCTCAGTCCAACTATCAGACGTTGCAAACCCGGCGGCTGCCCCCCAGCGAAGGCCAGTTTGACAGCTTACCAAGAGCATAAGCAGTCGTCGTGGCTGTAAGCCAGGCCAGTTGCGCTGAGGTTTTAGGAGTGCCCCCTTCGACACGACTGACCCCTCCCAGAAAGTGCTGATCGCCTAGGCGGAGGTTGAATGTGTAGAAGAGCAAGCTAGCGCGAGAACAGTTGAGACAGTCATAAGGTGGCGTTGCTCAAAACCATTTCAAGACGTAGCTTCGCCAGCAGAGCTTTTGAGCGGTAATCAACCTTTTGCAGCAACAATTAGCGACTTGACCAAGTATGGGGCAATAGTTTCCACACCGAACATGCAATCGTACATCCAAATGTCCGTGTCAGTCCTGCTACACTGTAGCGAATGCAATAAAGGCAGCATCTTTTCCCGACAGCCGTACAGCGGTTCTTTGACGTGCATACATTACTTGACTTGAGCCGATGCTAGCCAGGGTTTCCACCAATACGGTACGTGCGCATATGCCGGGTTGTCAACAGGCAAGCGGAATGCGGAAATGCAAAAAAACGCCCCAAACATACACAAGAATGCATCTTGAACAATTTAATCTTTCTGTTGGGGCTGCAGAGAAGCTGCTCGTCGTCCAGCAGATGGGGTTGGATCCGATCACATAATGGGCAACTAACGCCCTTTGCGTTGCACGGGGACAGCATGACTTCGAATTGTCCCGGTGGTTCTATTAATTTTAAGGATTGTTGCAGAATCGGATAGACCACACGCGCCATGGGAGTTTCATCGAGTGTTCGATTATCGTGCTTCGAAAAATGACGCGACCGGCGATAACTCGCAATCACTGTGACTCAATTTCAGCAGATGCGCACAACGGCACACTCCATCATGCGCGTGGGTGGTGTCCGCAACGTTCCTGAGTTCACTGACCGCACAAGGCTCCACCCTCGCACCTGTTCCAAGTAATTGATTCTCCAAACAATCCGCACTATTGCAAGAGTGGTATTCGACTGCAGTTGCAATCACAGGCATGACAAGTTGCAGGCCTCTTTGACTTCTCGTTTCCTCCCGTACGTCACAATGTGGTCACCAAAAAGCTGTTCCCTACGCAAGCAGCAACTCGGCAACAAACTCAAAAATAACTAGGGCCAGAGAGATTGCGTAAGCGAAAAATCCCCACAATCGCGTTCTGGGCTTACGGATTTTTTTTACCTCGCGATCGCGGCAACCCGACACCATCCAACCTCCTCAAACTCCCCCCGCGCCTCACACATTGCATTCGACCCATCCCCGTCCTTTCATTGCCGCGCGCGGATGCCAGAAAGGCGTCGACAGACAGCCTCGGACTGCCAGCCACCCTCCAGCTACCTCTCATTTACATAGATCGTCAGATAGCGTCCAGGCTGCGCATCACAGCGCTCTATGCTGTCACCGATGTCGCCAACGTCTCCCCCCATCTCCGGCAGCTGCCGCCTCCAGACCACCTGCACCTGCACCCCCTTCTGCACACCTTCAGGGCCATAGCGACGCCCCAAGCTATTTCCTCCCCTCCCTCCCCGCCCACACTTTACAGCATCGGTAAGGAGGGTGGCCCAGGCTCTATCGGATGCCATGGCTCAGGCATCTAGCTTGTGGCAAACAGGCCCGAGCTGTGTGCGGCAGGCTGCCACAGCGACAGCAGCAATGGGGGTCGCAGCAAGCTTAGGTTGTTTCTTCCCGCTCCAGCGCTTTGCCGCGCTCCATCCGCCGCCGCCGCGTGGCCCGAACTCCCCACCCCAACCCCACACAAACATATGGATCCACAAGTACAGTTTTTCCGTACTGCGAACAACCCCCGCCTGAGAATATGAGAACAGAGCCGCTTGGGCGTTGTGTCGCCTGGAGATCAGACACCCAATCTAGAGTATATGTGCGCTGGGAAACCTGTCGGGAAGGCTTGTTGCTGGCCGTGCGGGCCGATGCGGCGTGAATTCTCGTCGGGCACGTGAATTCTCGTCGGGAAATGCCGGGGTACATATTCTCGGACGCAAGACGTGGAGCCTTGATTGCTGCGATAAATCATGTACAAGCGGTGAGTGCTACCGACGCACCGTCGAGTGAGGGAGAAACTCCCGCCAGGCGGTTCGCTGGTTTCCGTCGCAATGGAGAGGTTTACTCGTCGTCGAAAACTTGTCGAAAACAGGAGCTAATAGTCCTATATGATAATAATGGTGGCACCGATAACAACATTTCAGGTTTGAATGCAGCTTCTTGTCAGTGGAAGGCTCGGATTACGGTGTCTGGGGGGTCGTAGCGGGGAGGAAGTGGGGGAACAACGTGGGTGGAAGTACCGTAAAGGATGATTTTGAAACATTGCCGCTTGTCACAAAACTAGACTAAGGCACAATTGAATATCAAGGAGAAGGTCGTCGTGAATCCTGAGCTCTCGACCCTTCTCAGCCTTTCGTTCGGCCGAGCCTAGTTAAGCTGCGCGGCGTAGCCGCGGACGCTGTGCGCCCGAAGCCCTCGAGGAGGCGAGATCCTTGGCATCGACATGTCGTTTTCTCGAACCACGTGTTTTGCTCAGAGAACTAAGCAAGATAATTATGATCCTCGCGATGCTGCAAAAGCGGTTGCATATAGGCCATGCTTAGGCTATACTGCTGGTCAAAATGCAGCAGCGGGCAGGTAACAGCAGGCTATAGGGATAGAATCTCAGGTCAAGATAAATCATCAATATAATGCTGTCGTTGTTGGCTTGAAGGAATGTGCCCTTGTATGAGTTTCAAGGAAAATGAAGCCGCAAGGATGCAGCACCGCAGTGTGAACAGGCCCAAATTCTTGAATGCAATAGCAAATGAATGCGACTTAGGTTAGGAATGGGCGTATCCATCCCGCAGTTCAGACGTACTTTGCTCCGTACAGGAGTTTCGACTACAACAAAGCTATTGCTCTCCTTCCTCCATCCGCTGACTTTGAAGCATTTAAAAGGAAAGGTTTCATACCGAATGTTCATATGCATCCATGCAGTCGCATTTCGATGTACTGGGTGACACGAAAGCGAGAAGACGAAACGGCAAGGTCTGAACGTACAATCATGTGGAAACGTATATGTCAACTGTCACTGCTCGGCTGTCAGTTAGGAAGTCCTGTGAAGGAAAAATTGAAAAAAGCTGATGCCATCATCCATAGCTGGAGGGTATGACAAACTGCATGCTGCGTATATGCGCTTCCATCTGTTTACAGCTCTTTCACTGAGAACATCGCGCATGTCGGAAACCGCAGGCTGCAACGTCGAAACCTGTCGCCTACAAACCAGCACGCACCCTCGAAGTACACTGTCATGAACTGTTCAGCGACGTGCCCGCTCCTTTCCGCGACAATTCACCAGGGGGCGGAAGCACGTTACTGCTACAGTTCTCAAGTTTGCGAGAATTACATGACCATTAGAGGGTGACCTAGCAAATGGACAGCTGGGAAGCTTTGAGAGCATCTGAGGGAATGAGCGCAGTTGCAGTGGCATTCTGTGTGCTCCAACTGCGACGGTGAGCAATCGGCCGGCCAGCCGTTAGACAAACATCCTTCGCCTTCGTCATCCTTTGCCTCCTGCTCACCCCTGATCGATGGCCGTAGAAGATGCACCTTTGCCCCGCACGCCTCTGGCTGAATCCAGCGGTGATTTGCTCGGCCACGCAGGTCCGCGCCGTCTCTCGCATCCCGCGGCAGTTTTCCCCAGCTGCCGGCCCTCACTAATGGAGGAAAGGATAAGTGGATACGAATCCCAACTCGGAATCCATTAAGTGAAACCCACACTATTTAGACCTTCTGACACACAGTGGCTCCCACCCCCCCCACACACACAAGGAGTTACCAAGCACGTACGATTGCCTTCAACATACCGCAATGAGCAATACGCACTTATCCACCCTCAACCAAAATCTTTCGGTGTTTGGAATGTGCGTTGATCGTTGATGTGACTGACCAGACTGAGTGGATTGCGCTTTGGGGCTCTCTTACCTGTGAATCAAGGCGCGTCAAGGCGTGCTTGAGGGGCGCGGTAATGGTAAGTCAGTGAAAGCCTGGTAATGCCAGATAAAGCTGGGGTTTGGGTAGGGCATGGCATGACACAGAGAGACGCATTTACGCCGGTCCAGGCTCGTCGGGAAATGTTTTGCCCGGCTACGTGGCCCGCCTGAATCTGCACATAACTTGCATCTGTCCCAGCCATATTGATGGCATATAATTGATAAGCCAGGCAAAACGAAGCATCGAAGGAAAGCACACATCCTCTAGGGCCGCTCCTCATGATCACTGGAAATGACAGAGATTGTACGGCAGCACTTGAAGTACCGGTAGAACACGCGGATGGTGCGCTTATGGGGGATAGAGAGGCATATAGGGCGGCCTAGGGTTGAACTGAGCGTATATCCCTCTACGGATGGAAGACCCATGGTGGAAGCCGGCCTGTGTGTTCTCCTTTGCGTTGGGATTTGCTCTGTTGGGCTGCTCCTTGGGCCTGGCCCTGGAAAAGTGGAGTTTTAATTGAGTACTCATCTGTAACAAACGTATCAAGGCTGCAGTTTCAAGAGGACAAGGCCTTTCCGCCCGGATCACCCGTTAAAATAACTCCGACAGTACGGAATGACAACACTCAAAGTGCGCACAGTTATTTGGTCATCACTTTGCATGTTTTGTATGATTATGTAGGTCTACATTTGCAGGTTTGAAACTCCGAGTTTGCATTCACCGGTGCTGCAAGATGTCGGCATCTTCGAAATTATTGGTACTGAATGCTGGGAGCTCATCACTAAAGTTTAAGGTGTTTGGCCTAGAACCGTTCTCAGCAGGTCTAGGCGGAATGTTCGACCGTATCGGCGATAAGGTCAACTGCACCCTAAAGGCAAGCGCTCCGGCCGAAGCATGTGGCGGGAAGGGCCGCAAATGGGAGCTCAAAGTTCCTGCGGCGAATCACATCGGCGCGATGCAGAGCATCTTGGATTTCATCAAGGACAATGTCTCCAGCGCTTTTGCGCAGGAGGTCGTCGCTGTCGGTCACCGCATCGTCCATGGCTTGGAGATAAGCCAGCCGGTGCTGCTAACCGATAAAACCATAAGCAAAATCCGCGATGCTGCGGTCCTGGCTCCGCTGCACAATCCCCCCGGCTTGCAGGGCATCGAAGCAGCGGAGAAAGTGTTCAAGGGTGTACCGCAGGTGCGACACCAGGCAGCTGCCGCATAGAAATGTAAGGTTCGGCAGGGGGAAAGCCCTTTGGATGGAAGGAAACTACCTCCACGCGTCCCTGAGGGGATCTCGAGGAGGACGCTCTCATCCCCTGCAGCCTCCACCCTGCCGCCCACTCCATTTGTCCAACCTGTCCTTTCCCTCCGCTCGGCCCTCTCAGCGCTCATCGCTCCGTAGTCCCATTTCATAGAGCAAGCCTTGGGGTTAATCCTCAAACAGTGCAGCGCTTATCCTCGCGCAACCCCACCTCACTCGCTCCCTGCCGTCTGCCTGCCTAGCACCCCAGGTCGCGGTCTTCGACACCGCCTTCCACCAAACCATGCCAGCCCACGCATACATGTATGGATTGCCGTACGATCTGTACGAAAAGTACAAAATTCGGCGGTACGGATTCCACGGCACCAGCCACAAGTACCTTCTGGAACAGGCGGCAGGTAGATTGCTGCCGTGCATGTCGTCTGCAGCCTAATTCAACCCCCCGATCTACTTGTCATCATCACATGACGGCTTGCCTGCATGTCTGTCTGTCTGTCTGTCTGCATGCATGCACCCATGCCCCTGTTTTCCGCTTGCATATCGATGTTGTCCTTTTGTATGTCTGTCGCCGGACGGGTCCCAGTTGCTTGCGGCGGGTTTTCCCTTCTCTAGGACTTTGCATGGGCAGGATGGGGAGGGGAAGGGGAAGGATAAGCATATGTGGCGTGTATACTGCCTCACCCTGTTCCGCCCTAGCCGTGATGACCGAACCCCCCCCCGGGAGCCCAGCAGCTCCCCGCCGCCTTCCCTAAAGGCGCCGCCTCCCCCCTCACCAGCCCTCTTTCCCCCGGCCCCCTCTTCCTTAGTGTGGTTCGTCTTGCCCCCCTCTCCCTTAGCGGGACGAGGTAACCTCTCCGCACCGCTCAACTGGCACCCGCCCACTCACTCACTCACTCAACGCCCGCTTCCCTCTTCCACTCACTTCCACCCACTTCTCACCCACATGCACTCCCCCCCCACCCGGTGCCCAAATCGGAAAGGTATGCTCGGAAAACCCGTCTCCGAAACCAATGCCATCATATGCCACCTGGGTAAGTCTGACTGAGAAAGACTGAGGTAGGAGGTGTATGTGAGGAAACATGCTTCCACAGTTGGATGTAGCAGTTGGTGGTAGCGGTTGGTGGCGGGGTGTTGGGTACCGACTCGTTATCTCGGTAGGTTGGTTGGTTGGTTGGTTGATTATTGGCTTAACCGAACCTTAACCAAGCACATCACCCAACTCCGCTCCGACCTCACCCACCTCACCCCCACAACAGCCCCACCTCACCCCCACCTCACCCCCACCTCACCCCCACCTCACCCCCACCTCACCCCACCCACCTCTTCAGGCAACGGCAGCAGCATTTCGGTGGTCCGCGGTGGTCGGTGTGTTGATACCACCATGGGCATGACTNCACTGGAGGGGTGAGGCGGGCAGAGAGGGGGGGAGGGGAGGGGAAGGGAGGGAGAGAGGGGGAGGGGCTGGGGGAGGTATGGGCGTGGGTTGCGGTCGAGGAAACTGGAAGGAACTGGGAAGTTGGGGATGGGGGTTGGGGGACTACGGGCTGTTCCTAGCTGGGTTGTTCCTTTTCCTCGCCTGCCCCAGACACCAGCATGCACACATACATACATGCACAAACACACACCCACACAACCCCCCAGCACGCCCTCTAATGTAACTCTTGCGTCGCGTCTGGGGTCATTTTTAGTTTTCGTTATCCTGCCGCCCCTTCTTCCTCCTTCCGCATTGGTGTGCATGTCTGTCTGTATGTATGTCGTTACAGGGTGGTTAAGCTTCACCAGCGGCCCCTGTCTGTCTGTATGTATATGTATGGACATACAGGCTGCTTATGGGCACACGTTGTGGAGACCTGGACCCGGCGGTGGTGCTCTTCCTGCAGCAGCAACTGAATCTGTCAGTGCAGGTGGGGCCCTGTTGGGGCGTTATTGGGGGATACCGCGTGCACCGCCCGGCCCCGGGCCCCGGGCCGTTGGATACCAGCTGGGTTCGGTGGACTCCAGGACAGGACAGGACAGGACAAGAGTGTTTCATTCACATTTGCATCACCACCACCACCGCTACTGTTGCTGCTGTTACTGCTACTGCTGTTACTTTGCTGCTACCGCTGTTGTTACTGCTGCTACTACAGCTGCTACTACTGCCTACCCCCCGCAGGAGACGGACACCCTTCTCAACAAGAAATCAGGTGGGTGTGCGTATGTACGTCTGATTATGATTACGGCCGTATGTATGTCTGTTTGTGTGTGCAATAGCCTTGTGTGTGGTAATGTAATTGTGTGCTGAGCCGTGGACGCGCTCTTTGACACGAAACTCCCAACCGTACGAGCTGCTAGTCCTGTACGGCTCCTGTATCAACTGAGGGGGACGTTTCTGTACAAGACAAGTAAAAAGAAGAGTTGGGTGATACCGGGAATCCCGTACATTGACGGGAAGAGGGACCTCCAAGCAGCGAATGCCGAAGATGTCGATTCAACAGAACGGATCTAACAGATTCAACGGATACAACTGATTCAACGGGTGCAACAAGCAGTGCAAAAGATGATATGCGACAGGCTAGGAGCGGTTTCAGAGAAGCGCGCAGCAAAAGCTAGCGAGGTGAATGTTGTGGAGAGGGAAAAGGAAGGAACGTGCGGGAAATGGTGGGGTGCGGGTGCCCGCGGCACGCAGCGGTCCTTGCGTGAGTTGGAGCTGATTGAGGTGGTAGCAGAGGAGGCGGAGCGAGGCTATAGGAGGGAAGATGGCGGTACCGTGAGAGCCGTAGAAGGTGAATCGGTGGAGCGAAGGTGGAGGGCGATTTTAATTAGGCAGCTCGCGATCGGCGGCGGGATTCCAGCTGGCTTGCCCTGCAGGGTTGGTGGGTGGGTGGGTGGGGTGATATTGCGGCGATCGATTTATTAATTACTATTATTATTATTATTATTATTATTATTATTATTATTATTATTATTATTATTATTATTATTGCTGCATTAATAATAAATCGACCGCCGCAATATCACTCCACCAATATATATTCCATATCATACCATATACCGGTATCGCTATGGCCGATTGGTGATTTCTGGATTGGTGAAAGTAAAAAACGCTTCTAGAATTAATCTTTCCAACACCGGAATTGGTGATACGGTTTGGTGTTACCCCGTCCACTTTTTCCCATTGCCACCGAATTGGTGAAAGCCGCCAACCGGACTGCCCCCCGTTCACTGTGGGCCCTCCGAGGCACCCCAGGCCCACATCAACCAATCTGCAGTCGCATGTAAACGTTTCTAGATGCACGCCGTAGCATACAGCATCGCGCGCGCGCAGCAAAGTGACCCTTAAACTCATGCACAGTTTGTCTAGCCGAACCGGTTCGGCCTAGCTGCTGTCCTGCGGCCACGGTTCAGCGCAATGGACTGCGCCTTTCGCAGCTCGACCACCTCCTCCTCGTCCCCGCTCCCCTCCTCCGTGTCCGAGTAATTTATTAATGTAATGACTATATAATGTAAAGTTTGGCATGAAATATTGCTTTATGTGTGCTTTTCTGCGAGTTAGGCGGTCCGGCACCCGACCTGGATCCAAAACGTACAGGGATCGGTGATGGCCGCCGCTCAATCCCAGCCCGGATTATCCTTTGCTACTGGATTGGTGATTTTCACCAATCCGGTGTCACCAATCGGCCCTAGCGATACGGTATATGGTATATATACCATATATGTCATATATGTGTGTGTGTATGGTTTACTGAATAACACATGCATGTATCCACGCGCGTTATTAGCAACATCTATAGATCTCTGAAGGGGGTAGCGGAACATCCGAAAGAAGAACAAGAAGAAGAAGTAGCTGCCGCCATGTGTAACACAGCAACGCAATAGTTGCGTCAAATGACAAGGGACAAATTTATAGCTTGTAGCGACAAGATGCGAAATCGCCCGGAATTGCCCGAGCCGGTACACATGTACACACACTGCCGTTGCGGTCTCCGCAAGGAAGTTGGGGACGACGTCTGGATCGGCGTCTGAAATCCGCCGTGTGCTGCTTGCTGCCATTATTCACAGCTATATAAGTTTATTTCAAGTGCCCCCGCCTACCCATCATACGTTATGAAATACGGAGTTGCGTCTGGCTAATGCTAATCAACGAGGAGGAAGTGCGGGGGAAGTGAGGAGGAAGTGCGGGGGAAGCGGACATCCGGGCCTGCGGGTGGTCGGTGGTAATGGTCGTTAGGAAATGCAAAGACAGTGTTCGCAGGAAGAAAGAAGTATCGTTGGGAAGAGGAGAGACTCCGGGATGGAAAGTGTGCATATGTATGTAAGTATGTGAGTGTGTGAGTGTGTATACATGCGCTCCGAAACCACACATGTTGACTGATTTACGATAGGACGAAGATATATACCTGTGAAGATATACGGATGGAAAACTGGTGCCAAGCGCAGGACCCCCTAATAGACCTAATGTGCAGAGGACCAGCACGCAGCCCACCTCTTCCCGTACCGCCCTTCCTAGTGACCTCCCACCCCCCAACAGTGTCAAACCCATGAACTCCCGCATGTGCCCAACCAAACCGCTAAAGTAAACCAGCTTACCCTCTTTACCCCCCCCCCTTCCCACACAAACACATTCATTCTTTTCCCCCCGGGGCCCCGTGTTCGTACAGGTCTCCTGGGTCTAACGGGCTCTAACGATCTCCGTACAGTCATTGAGGCGGCCCAGCAGCGAGGGGAGCCGCGGGCGCAGCTGGGTTTGGATATGTTCGTACACCGGGTGCAGAAATACATCGGGGCGTACTGGGCTGTGCTCGGAGGGCAGGTGAGTGTGTTGGGTCGGGGAGCTTGGGGCTGGGTTGTACGGAAAAGGAAGGCCCACTGCGCGAGGTAGGACGAGGTAGGACCCAACCCCACTGACAGGTGTGGGCGAAAGAGGAGGGGAGGGAGGGGGAATTAATTGGATGTGTAATTGCTGACGAAATAATGTGTTGTGTGCCGTGCGTGTGTGTGTGTGTACGTGTCTGTGTGGGTGAATGTGGTCATTTGGTCAGGCGGCAGGTAATGATGGCATGCGGCAAGTGTGTTATTTGGAGTGATAATTCAATTGCGGAGCCGATGTGCGTCAGGTCGGACATTCCTTTCCTCTTCGCGACGTGGAGAAGCAACACTACGACGACATCACCCATGTACGCGCGTGAGAGCTAGCGGGGCCCATATCGGTGGCCGGCTGGCCCAATCCCTTCCTTTCTTGCACGAAGAGCAGTACCTCGCTTTTTGAGCACATCAAGCGACGTCTGTACGACGGTCCGTACTATATACCGTACGAAAACGCCTGTTTGCTTGCAGGTGGATGCGGTGGTGTTCTCAGCTGGTATTGGTGAGAACTCCTCCATCATCCGGGGCCTTATCCTTCAACCGCTCAAGGTACGGCACATGTGGTGGCGCAGCGGTCGTACAGCAGTACGACAACACGGCCAATAGCAGAGGCGTGTGGGGTCGGTGCGGCGGACAGAAGCGCATGGCCGTGTGTGGTTGTGTGTTAAAAAAAAACCTACAACCTCGTTCAATGTTCAATTTTGCACGGCCTCGAAACCCACAGAAAGCCCGTAACCTAACCCGCCTACAAACCCGCGGTGGCCGTTCACACGAGTTCACCGAACGAGGTCCTTCGATAGGTTCGAAAGCCAGTGTTACAAGGTTGTACTTTTGTTAAACAACAAAAGTTACTTTCGAATGGCATGGCCCTTATTATTTCGCTATTCCATCTCTCTCCCTTCCAAACCCCCTTGCAACGCCTTGGCTTCTTGCTCGTCTAGGGCATGGGTCTGGATCTGGATCTCGCTGCCAATCACGTCACCGTGGGCGGCCGCCGCGGCGACATCTCCACGCCGTCCTCCCGCACCCGGCTGCTGGTGGTGCCCACGGACGAGGAGCTGAGCATTGCGGAACAGACCTTGCAGGCGAGAAAGGGGGGAAGGGAGGGCGGGAGGGACAATACACTAGGCGGAAAGGGGGAGTTGGGGATTGAAGGGTGGTCGAATACGGGGGAGAGAGAGGGAGAGGGAGGGGCCGAGGAGGGGATGAAAGGATGATGTGGATACATGCTGCTGGTCGCTTGGCTGCGTAATGAACATCTAGCACATTTAAAAGTTCGCAAGTCGTGTTTTTTTGCCATGCAACTCTTCTGGACGTGCCATTTATCTGTCAGTTTGTGTGTATGTATCTCTGAGTCGGGGAATTTGCTGCTGCAATTTCCTTCGGCTGCTCCCACATCCCCCGTTGCCCTCCCCTCACATTTCCCCCCCGGGGGTAGGGTGGGGCGGGGTGGGGGGTTCAACATTGAGATTTCCTCAGTGTCCTTTCCGTACCCTTCCCCTTCTGTGGTCTCTTTCCACGTGTGTGGATACCGTAATGTGCCGCAGGTGGTGGGGTACAACACATCATCATCGTCGTCGTCGTCGTCGTCCGGAGCCTCTGCCGCATGAAGCTTTGCGGCGGCGTCCCCTGCCCCTTCCCCAGCCCTTCCTAGGGCTTCGGCGGGCCTGGCTTCTTTTTAATCTTCGGAGAACACCACCACCAAAACGCAAAGGGCAGAATACGGCAGTGTATTTTCAGGAGGTCGTGCTTGGGTTTGGTAAAATTGAATAAATGAATAGTCGAATAATTCGGAGTGTTGAAATATTCACGCGCACTTAGGTGCTTGCTTGCTAGATTGCTAGATTGCTTGATGCTGTTCAACGCCATTAAGAAAATGTGTTGTTATTCCGCGGACTGGATATGGTGATTGTGCGTGTATGTGTGGGGGAGGGCCACAGCACACCGGCTTTAAGAAGCCAATCGCGAGGAGGAATATTTTGTGTTGTGAGGGGGGGAAAGAAAGCATACATGACCCACATATTTACCAAACTGTGGAGTGGGATTGGGGGTAGTGCCACAATCGTAGTTACGTGGGGTTGAGAACGTGAGTTGGATATCATCTGATCTGTCTACCGGGTGGTTCCTGGGGTGATTTTTGTGTGCTATTTTGTGCTTTTATGATCTGGGCCGCGAGAAGGGAATGGTGGGGTTGCAGATGGTGTATGCGCGTGTTTGTGTGTACAGACACACTGTGTATGTAGTCAGTCTGATGAAGAGGCGGAGAGACATTGTATGGTTTGACAACGCCGCGAGTGTTCCCTAGTGTACGGCTAGTCGTACAGCAACCGGCGCATACGTACGAGCACATTCGCCGTGTAACTGTGGATGATGTCCTACTAGTGCGTGAAGGTGGTAGCTGGTGTTGTGACAGACGGCTGGCGGGTGTTGGCGGGTGCTTTCACAGTCCGCGAAGTGCTTTCATTGGCCGTATGTGTTGCTGCGAACCACCCGGGGCATGTCCAGCACCTGCGATCCTGATGATGACGATGATTTAATAAACGCAATCCCGCCGTTACTACGTTGCCTATTTTTGTGCACTTTTGTCCCGGTTTTAAGTGGGGCTACGGATCAGGACTCCTAATAGCGCCTGTGGCATCCGCGTGCGCCAGGTGTTACTGTAGTTTACCGCACACGTTGAATCGTTGATTAACCCGCGACAAAGAGACTACTTGTCTACCAGTTCCTTTTCCTAGTCTCCATGTTTAGCTTGCTGGTCTCGCCTTTGATTTACAAAACTCATATCGCGGGCTTTGGCGCCCTGACCTGGGTTCCCTTGGGTTTTAGGTGCAAGGCTCCCGCACAGCCATCAGCCCTACAGCAGTCTGTGCATCCAGTCAAACAAACGCATGGAAGCCTGGGCTATCCAAGCCCAAGCATCTCCCGGGGGCGATTGCGGAGGAGGGTAGAGGCGGGAGCCCCTGGACGCTCTGTGCAAGCATATGCATATGATGGATGGATGATGAGCAGGATTGCAGGGTTTTAGGGTTTTGTTTAAACCCAAAGGCATGGACGTTTCGAGGGAACTCCACTTGTTATGCCGCTGCTGCTGCTTGCTTTCTCCTGCCGACAGCATACCGCTTTCGTATCTGTGAACTTGGGCTTGGGTGACTGTATGAGAGGTTTCAGCGTGTGGTGGTGATGGATCCAGATCGCAACCTGGTGGAGCCGCATTCGGCCGTGGCGCCACGGTAGCTACGATACCAGCATGGTTGAGACCAAGTAGGGCGGGTCTCAATATTCCAACCTAAGTAACAAAGTTGGGTCGTCGTAATATATTCCTTAAGTGTGGGGCTCCACCCCCCCCAGACACCCCCCCGATAAGTTACAACTCCCTCATAGACCAAGAGTCACACACTGAGTTGGCGCGTTTTCGTTCATGTGCGCACTCTTCATGCACATGCATAAATAGTTCTGGCTCTGTTTATGGGCAATAAGTAAATCAAACCAAGCAAAGGCCCAAAGCAAGCAACGGCATAGCAAATCACAGGCCGTCACCCGCCGCTGCATTGCATGCAGCGGCTGCAAGCCACAGCACACTAGGACTCTACCGGTTCATCATGTTCCGGCCCCTGCTGCTGCTGTCCAGCCACTCCCTCAGTGCGTCACGGAACAGGAACGTGCCCAGGTCGAACAGGTCCTGGGTAAACATCCGCATGCACAGCGCTAGGTGCTCATCCAGGCGGTTGGGAGTGGGGTCCTGCAAGTACCCCATGGCCGAGAACCGCCGCTCATCTTCCACCGACCCCGGCACCATCACTAACACCAGCTGGGCCAAAGCCGAAAACTCTGTTAAGCTGCTGGTGAGGGCCGCACAGTTGCTGATGGCCTGCCACACCCGTGCTGTGGGTGTGTCATCGAGCAGCACCTGGTGATTACACTTGGATGTGGGTGCGTCTGGGTCCACTGCTGCCGCCTGCTGCCTCTGCCGCTCAGTCTGCACTCACGCCCGCCTGAGGTGCTGCTGTGCGGCGAGCTGATTCATGCTGGAGGGCGAACAAGTTCGCCTGCTCGTCCAGCAAGGTGCCGTCCAGCATTGGTGGCACCTTGCTGGAGTTGGCATCCACCCGCTCATGGCAGTAGTAGTCCTTGAGGATCTTCAGCTTCACGTTGAAGTTGGCTGCCGTGGGCCTGTTCTCCCAGTACTCACTGTAGACAATCGACACCGCCTCCAGCAGTGGATGTGGGGAAAACCGCGAAGACAGCTCACCCATCAGCTCCTCGACCGCGGCTGACATGTCTGCCTGGACTGACTTCACGACCTGGGCCAGGCGGTCCTGTGTCAAAGGTGGTGGTGTGCAGTCTTGGCCAGTGCAAGGAGGATCAGTGGTGAAGGGGTAGAAGCCGCTTCTGCCACACATCAGTCCTATCCGCTCCTCCCCCAGTGTGTTGGGATTGAACACCCAGGCGGTGCCCTTGATGTCTCCATCGACTGATAGCAGCTCCTTGAAGTCCCCGAACTCCACGGTGGTGTAGCGGGTCTCCGGCCTGAGGTACATCTCGTGCAGCCGATCCTTGGTGCGCTGAAGCGCCTTGGCCAGCTCACCAATATACAGCCCACAGCTCTGGCAAAGCTTGATGAACATGTCGATGGTGACCAGGGTGGGCATCAGCGTGTGCATTGAGACATACAGGCGGGTGTCCCGTAGTGTGTTGTACAGCTTCTCCTCCTCCTCGCAGAACAGCGGCAGCAGTGCTGGGTACTCGGCAAGTAGGGAGGCCGCTGTTCCACCGCCGCCATTGCTTGTAGCCTCCTCCGCCCACGGTGCTGGTGGCGCAGAAAGGGCTCCTACGGCTGC